CACAGGTCACCTGAGGTGAGCGTTACCTTATCACTTAATATAACTCTTTTAAACTTGCGGAGTAAGGCATGTAATCTACATATTCTAAATGCATTTATACATGTGATATTCAACAAAAGATTCGTTATTCATAATAATTATAATCGTTATTCATCATCACATGTATAAAACATTGAAGTAAGCGCTCACAACAAAAAAATCATCCTGTTATTCCCCAAATAAGTATGGAAATGAGGAATTCTGTTTTAATCGATTTCTTCAGGGAATGTAATGATTTAGTTAAAAAAGCATTCAGCTATAAGGTATGTCAAATATATTTGTTGGCCTTGAATCTTGGTTTTCAGAATGCTAATATAGCTGAACGTTAAAGCGTGAACACTGAGCATGTTCCACCATCAATTTCATTAATTACTTTCTTGATCATACCTGTGCAAAATGTTTGTGAAATCTTTCTGTCTGTTATGCAGACGAATAATCCTCAATCCCTCGATGGTGTTTGAAAAATGGGAATACAACGGACCACCAGCTTGAGACATTAAACGTTTGATATCCATTGCAGAATTGAAGAAAAATCTTGACACACCATAACAAGTTAAAATTGTGACTATAACAACTGGCATTAAAAATAGATTGGAGACTAAACACAATATAATAGATGCCAGTGCAAGCGTTCCATATTTGAAGAAAAAAAACAAATTATATGGCAGAAGATTGTCTAGATTATTAAGATCTTGAGAGAATCTGTTGAGTATACGACCAGGTGGGTTCACGGCGTAGAAGTGGGTTGGAGCTTGAAGGAGGGAAGAAACCATCTTGTTGTGGAGTTTGTAGTTTGCTCGAATTGGTAGAAGGAAAATGCAGGATTTTGCAACGAACGAAAATAATATGGCAACAATCAAAGATAATGGATATACAATTAACGCTTCATGAAACTTTTCTGTCTGTTTTGCTAGAGTTGGTAATGATGATACTTGAATGTCAATCCACATGGCCAATCCTAACAACAACAGAAGGGATGAATAAATAATTCTCAAAATAATAATATACATAAAATGTTACTCGACTATGATTAGTTGATTTCAGTGCAGTTAATCTCAAACAACAGTGGAAAAATACAAATGGTAAATGTAAATCTTCATTTTACCATCTGAGGATCTTATCAAGGGTCCGGAAATGTCAATCGAAGGAGACTGCTGCAATTGTTGTGCACGCTTTTGTTACATGCATCGAAGCTAGACTGCAAGTCTCTTCTCTTTAGCTTATCGAAGTACAAACGTTACAGTATGTTCAAAATGTAGCCGCTAGAATTGTTTGTCGAATTGCTAAATATGAACATATCACTTCAGTTTTTGTGGATTTTAATTTGCTGCCGGTACATTACCGCATAGTTTTTGTGGCAAGCCCTATATAGCCATTATGTAACGCTGAAAGTGTAATTGTTGTGAAGTTGTGACGGAAATTGTCGTCAGATCGGGCATTCGACAATTCTTTGATTTGTGTTCGACCTTATTTCGAAAACTGTCGTTCATGCCATGAGACGACGATAATTCCACAGACATGGAAAGATAAGGTATCTTGACCAGATGCCTCACTCAGCAAAGTTTATGTTTACAAAATTACAGTTGGTAACGCTGGCAGAAATACTCGAAGGAATTTTTCACTTAAAGCAAACTTTTGTTATTTCAATCGATATTTGTGTTTATAATTTTTGAATACATAATTTGTAATTGCTATTCATGTGGTAACGATAGTACGGTACCGTTGTGGGTCCCCGTGATACACGGCCGTGGAGGCATGGGGCTAGAACAAGATGGCGGACAGTCAGACTTTCATAACTTTATACATCCTCGGTCCCAGGGCCTCACGGCTGACACTGCGTTGCCGGAGGCCCTGGCGAAAACCAAAACCGGAACTTCAAAAATCTTGTAGTTTGCCGGAAGTAAACTTAATAAAAATACTGACTCTGCATCTTTTTTGCAAGGAGTGAACTTTAAGAATTTCTCGAAAGAAATAATGTTTTACATGCAAGATAAACGTTAATTTGTTCTGGTTATTTCACCATTAAATGTTTTAATGATTGACCAAATCAGAAACTAAAGGATCATGTAAATGTTTCAATTATGAAAGCTGTTCAAGTTGATGAATCGAAGGATACAATGTGTAGTTTGGGAGAGTCATTGTATACGGACAGCAATCAATTGGAGAACATGAAAGTTTTTGAATTTTTATTATATTCGACGAAATATACAGACAATTTAAGAGCGATTGTTGTGGACGAAGCCCAATCTTATTACTGAATGGTGAGTGAGTGATACTGATATATTTGGTTGTTTCTCAATATTCTTTCTTTGCTATATTAATGGTTATCTTCAAGACTGTACACATACAGACAACTTATATTCTGTTTAATACGTCTGGTCTAAACGCTGCACTTTACATGTGCCAAGTCTAGAAAAGTTTGTTCAACCTTTAAAGTGCTACCAAATTGTTTTACTCAGCTTAACATGCCAGATGATTGAGTGTACTGGTCAATGTGAGAGTGCTACTGCTCAATGGGTTAATCAGATTATCTATTGTACTTTATAATGTCAGACAATTTTGCTCATCAAGGGGAGAGTGGGTATAATTGCAAAGTAATTACTTTGCCACTTTGGACAAATGTATAAGTTACATATTATATTTACTACGTACCGGTATGTACATAAATTCAACACTTAAATCAAAATGTCAAACTTTATTATTTGAGTCAAACTTTATTATTTGAGTCAAACCATGTAAATTCACATTAGATTTGGCACATGTAAAATGCGGCATTTAGACAGAGACAATGAGCATAAAACCCGAAATATTATGTGCATCCCAACCACCCACCCTCGCCCCTCCCCCCACCTTAATCTTGGTATCCCCAGATAACGATTGTTTGTAGGATATACAACTACCTGTAAGGTATCGTGTGACTGCATACTACAAGCTAGTATCATATTCAGTTTAATACATATATATGACTTGAAATATGTATTTTCTTGCCAGCCATTTTCAATCATAAAATTATCCATGTTGCTGTTAAATTATGATTGGCCTAAAATTTTTGGCTAAAGATTGTTTTAATTTATAAACATTGTACCACTACCTTAGGAAGGATTTCAGGCCTTGCTATGAAAGGATTGGTATGTCGGGAAGTTTGTTTCTTCATCAACTGAGAGAAAGAAGTTGCATCAACTCAGAGAAAGAAAGAAATTACATGAACAAAATAAACAATTTTGTGTCATTGATATAAATGATTTATTCTTACAATTTCCTCTATGAAAATTTGGTGCATGTGTTAATAAAGATACTGTAAAAAATAAATAACAGATTTATGGTGCATCCATGCTGTGCTTTAATATTGCAGTGGTGTAGGAAATGGAGGTGTGTGGGTACCAGTGTGCTTGTGTGTGGAGGCCGGATTATCCAGGAGTTCCCCGACAAGGAATATCAGGTTTCCCAACAAGGAATTTCAGGTTCCCAACAGGGGGCTATAATCTTTCAAGCAGTAAAATTATTGTTTTGTTCACACATGAAAATGTTGAATTTTTTGGCTCTCATGAAATGGTGCAGAATTTATTGTCTGTAACAGTGCATTTACCAGCACTTCAAAACAAGGTCATTACAAAACATAATTTTTTCCAGTACAAAGCAAAGTTGCAGTATTACTATTAACAATATAATTTGTCAACTGTAAAAAACATTGATAGCCTATAAATTAAGCTATATATTGCATGAAATTTAAGGCAAAACAAGGTGGAAGAACTAACATTTCCAGCTATTATATTAATCACTTTGTCATTTTGTCATTATTAAATAGTATTCAAAAACTCATTAATAATTCATGAAGCAATTATCCAATCTTGAGTAAGAAATTAGTCACGTGCATACGTCTTTATACCAGCTAAAGAACACTTTAACAAAAGACCATTGTTATGCAAACTATATAAAGATTTTTAAATAAAGATTTTTATATAAGATTTTTATATAAAGATTTTTATATAAAGATTTGACTTATTATGCAAACGTTTTTGAAGCCATTTAAAAAACTCGCAGGTCGTGTTTTATTAGGTCTAAAGCCACTCGCGCTGCGCGCTCGTGGCTTTAAACCTAATAAAACACTCCTGCTCGTTTTTTAAATAGTACTTAAAATACAATATGTCATTATTAAATACATTTAATATAAAATACAATATTTTTACATAAATTAAGAGCCTTTGATGAAATTGATATAAAATCAATAAATTATGTCTATTAAATATAGTATATTATAAAATAATTTATATTTTATAATATACTATACTTAATATAATATTATGTATGGCATGGACCCCTCTTGCATGCATTGAACAACCACACTCATTCACGATCAGGACTTTCTCATTTGTAATTGAAAGATGCAAGACATCACTCACAATTTTTGTAGATTTGAACAATTAACGGTACAGTCTTTCTCGCATAGCCTTTCGCCTGTCTTTGTTTATACTCTGTACATAATTAAATCTCGTATATAAAACTATAAAATGTCCCCTCATCGGCTTCGGCGATTTCAATCTTTAAATAATCCAATGTCCAATTTTGTGCAGCTTTTTAATACATTGTGACACAACATCCAACATTTTTTATATTAAAAATAAAATTTCCATTGATAGACAGCAGATTTCAACGACCAAAACGACTCTTCGTTTTCTTTGAAGAGTTAATACACTCCTATCTACTCCTATAGTCAGCCATATTTATTAGTAAAAGTTTGTGTTCAATTTCCGCATTCCATTGTTTTCATGCGACCAATCAAATCACTTCTCGTTTTGGTTTTCGCCAGGGCCTCCGGCAACGCAGTGTCAGCCGCGAGGCCCTGGGACCGAGGATGAACTTTATATTCCTATAGCTTTTTGTGTATGTTTCACTGTTTATTTACTGTCTATCAAGTCGTAACATGGTGTCAGGAGTAAAACTAGACTATATGGATGGACGTTATGTTTATACCGCCAAAAACGACGAAGAAACAAGCGAAAACTCAACGAATGGCATATTTTCATATATCTCCTCCGGATGTGCTTAATTTCACCGATGGTTCAACGGCTCGAACTGGCGTGAATGGAGGTCCGGACGCTTGGAGCAATTACACTTTGGCAACAATGCTTGATAAAGTAGACGAGGCAGGTCAGGTAGCTACACTTCTTGCAGTAGTGGGAAAAAAGGCAAACAAAGTATTTAGGGCATTTGTTTGGGGGTCAGAAGGTGATTCTAAGAAAATTGATCTAGTCTTAAAGCAGTTCGAGGAATACTGTATTCCAAGACAGAATGTGGCATATGAATGTTTTTGTCTGTTTACGCGTGATCAAGGGCCCACGCCACGGGAACCGTAGACCAGTGCATGATGTAGTGGCGTAGAATTGCCGCAAACTGTGACCTAGAGTCGATTACACCAGATCAAATATTGCGAGACCGACTTCTTACTGGAATTAGGGATGCAAAGCTACAATCGCGTGCAAAAATAATGAGACTCTTCACATTTTGGTGATCTTTTTCACGTGCGTGCCCCCCTCCCCCATTAACAATGTTGAAAACATATTATTTGATAAGCCCTGACCTCAAAATCGTTTTAACAACATTGCACAAGGGGGGGGGGGGGCAAGAAGCATCGTTACAGCAAGGAGAGGGCCAATAAACTGCTTGTCTCAAGAATTTTTGCACGCGATTGTCTTAGCAGAGGCCTCATTGTGTTCACAAACTTAATTAAATTTCTGCCAAAAGTTGAACTTAACGCAGTCTCGGGCAAAATTTTCATTTTTCGCGCTTTAAGCCCAGTGATCTAGTTTTCGTGCGAAACTCGCACAGAAATGGACTCAAAAGACGCAAAATGGGGGACTGGGTACGAGTAAACAACCGTTTTGAACTGCTTATTGGATCCTCTATGTCTCCTGTTCTAACTTTTCAATCGGGACTCGGACATCCAATTTTTGCAACTCTAAGCAACGCAATTTTCTACTACGGCAGAAACGGACAGATTGACGGACGCGAAACAGAAATTATCTGGTTTGTTTGGTGGAGGGTCTTTGAGTTTACCCGGAAGATTCTGCAGGCGGAGCAGAAAGACCTGTCTCCGTACCCGCGCTGCTTTGACGAACTGGTGTTTATGGATGAACAGTTTTAACTTTTTTCATGCTGCCATCATTGCACATTTACTCTCAAAGAAATATATAAGAATAGATGACACGTTACGCACACGTTACGCACACGTTACGCCACACGTTACGCTTGACTTTATATAGAATATCAATGAAAACCGACACGTTACGCCCCATTCTTATAAAGGTAGAATAGGTCTACCTTTAATATATTAGGCGTAACGTGTGTAACGTGTCAGCTTGCTATAGATTCTTATATAGTGAAAGGCGTAACGTGTGGCGTAACGTGTGCGTAACGTGTGCGTAACGTGTTGAAATTGAGTTCTATTTAGTTTGTATGCATGTATAAGGTCTTCAAAATAATTTTCACGTAGGCAATAAGTCGTTGAGTTTTCGCATAGTACTTTTATTGAATATGCATGGTAGAAGTGTGTACTTAATACATTCGTCACTATTAAACATCTAAAACAGTTATTGAAGTCAAAAGGCACTGCCAATATAAACGGTATAAATAGGGAAAAACATTGTAATATAGAAACACTTAATAAATTTAATACTTTAATCGTTCCCCTCGTTTCTCACTGATCATTGCAACACTCTTGTTCATCGATATAATAATTCAGTTCATAAAACTTTTTGACAAATTCATCCTCGTGCTTTTAACTCATTCGGAAAATTGTTCAAACTTTTCTGACGTGATCTGCTTGTCAATGGCATCTTGTCCTAACTGTTTTGATACTCAAGCGGGACGCGTTCAATTTATGAACTATTTACGGTCATTTATGACGTCACGATGACGTCATTGTGACGTCACAATTTTACACACTGTAGGTAAAATCCTTAGGCACACATGAAACACATAGTCACAGCAAGCAAAGGCTGTTATGCTTCTTATTTGCGGCAAAGCGAAATAACCGTATTAAAATTATCATTACTCGACACTACATAGACTGTCTTAGCAGAGGCCTCATTGTGTTCACAAACTTAATTAAATTTCTGCCAAAAATTGAACTTAACGCAGTCTCGGGCAAAATTTTCATTTTTCGCGCTTTAAGCCCAGTGATCTAGTTTTCGTGCGAAACTCGCACAAAAATGGACTCAAAAGACGCAGAATGGGGGACTGGGTACGAGTAAACAACCGTTTTGAACTGCTTATTGGATCCTCTATGTCTCCTGTTCTAACTTTTCAATCGGGACTCTGACATCCAATTTTTGCAACTTTAAAGTGCCTATATCAGGGTCAGGGAAATGACTTTTCCTGATAGTTTAGACGATTTTAAGAACATTTGCAATATATTTGACTGGACGAAAATTTGATCTTCATGGACTTTTTGGGCCTCAAAGTTGGTGATTTTTCGAATTACCGCGAGCTTGAAAGTACTGGTAACTAATCGGCGTTAACTGCCGGAAGTGATGTAAGAATGAGAACACGCTAATCTTGCAAAGTATCATCATAATAAAACAGCATAGAATTTTAGTCCAAAATATCGTCCGATTTTTTCCGTTTAATAACATTTTGGGTTAACTTTTCGTTAAAACAATGTCGTCAAGTTTTTCCGACAATACGGACAGCCAACTTGATTCGGATATGAATTTTTTACCAACTTATATAATGGAAATCGAAGATGATGCAGTTCAGCCTCCCACAGCTGAACACAAAGCGATGACGACCAGTGGCCAGGCTTACAACCTTACCAAGACGAACGGATTGCTGATCCAGCTTGGATAGCTCAATACGACGAAGAGACGTGCCGAAGAAGAGAGACGACAGCTGCTTATGTCTCGCTTGAACGGAACCATCCCCGTATTAAATTGGTAGGTGAAATGTGCACTATATGTGAGCTCAGACTCAGAGACAGAGCTCGTGTTTACATTCTGTGTAGACGCTACGGCGTACGCAGGCTAGTGTTGACACTCATGTAAAAATATTTTCCTTTTTCGTTTGACAAATCACAATGAATATTATATGGTGTTTCTTTTTATTTCAGGTATACATGCGAACTATGTAAAGTCGATTTACTGGTAAATGAGAGAGAGGCTCAATGCTGCCAAGAAATCGAAGGCTGCTTAGAAGCGTTAGGGACAGAACTTGTTTTACAAGAAGTAGGTGCTGAGCCAAATTGCATAACGCTTCATCCAGGCTTTGGTTCGGTCTGTTTATCACCCTGGTCATTGCGTCTGGCAGGGCGTAAATTTCGAAAACGTAGAAGGTGATGAAAACAGGCAAGACACATATATATAATAATATATATATTTATTAAACAATCTAATATAGCCATTTTTAACCCTGATAAATCCCCACAATTTGTTATCAATCAGAACATTTCATTTATATAAAACTATTACAAATATTACATGAAAAGTTTCTTATATTATAGGTGTTTCCGAAGTGTTGCCTATAGAGAGTATATACTATATACTATTGGTTTATGGATACTTGGGAAAGAGAAGAATACCTTTACCAGCATGTGCTTATCATGCCATAAGACAAGCTTGTGGTGGAAAAGACGTCAAAGGTTTTGAGGATGACGAAGAGTTGGAATGATATCATCACAATAATATTATGCATCCAAAAGTGCCTACCCCCAGGGCTTCTGACATTTTAAATAAATCTTGTTAACCCATTAATCACCAGCACTCTCCCCTTGACGAGTAAAATCGTCTTGCATTAGAAAGAGTAAAATAATAAAGTAGGGTGCATCAGGGCACAATGCGACTCAATGGGTTAAATAGACACATGGGCAGATAGGCCAGTTACCCATTAAGCACCAGTGCTCTCCCCTTGATGAGTAAAATCGTCTGCCGTTAGACAGAGTAAAATAATAAAGTGGAGTGCATCAGGGCGCAATGCGACTCAATGGGTTAATTCCTAGATTGGTAAAAAAGTGGAAAGTTCCCCGAAGTGGGACTGATGTCCGAGGCATATCCCCCATTTGCAAACACTTGAAGTGAGATCAATACAAAAACTGATTTCGATTAATTTTATAAGGCCAGAAAATAATACCAGGGTTCCTTGTGTTTAGAGCTCACTGGTTTGTGATATGATGTATAAAATTCATAAAAATAAAATAAAAAATTCAAAACCGACCTACTCTTCCTAGGTTTTTGTAACATATGATAGGAAACCATGGTATTTCTTGGCCTAATTGATTTCAAATGCCTCACCACTGGGTTGAGGTTAGTTTTCAAATGACCCACCCCTGGGAAACAACATAAAATGAGCAAGTTCCTGGGGGGGGGGGGGGCACTCTGGATTTGAATATTGCATAAAAAATTAATACATCTGTATAATTTAATCAGCTAGTATGTACACTCTAAAAACACTCTGGTTAAATTCAACCAGGAACTGGATCAATAAACTACCTAGCACATTCCTGGTTAAATTAACTGATTTCCTGGTTAAAAATGATTGATTAAACAAAAATCTGGCCATACTTCTTTGGATTTTTAACCAGGAAAATGGTTTAATTTTTTTAACCAGGATTGTGTAGGTGGATTTTTAACCCCATCCTGGTTGAATTAAC